GCGAAAAGTGCAAAAAGAAGCACCGTGGGAAATGTGACGGGGAGGTCACTTGTTTTAAATGTGGGAAGCCTGGGGACTATGCCAACGAGTGCACGTTCAACAAGAAAGTTTGTTATGGTTGTAATGAGGAAGGGCACCTTTTGAGGGACTGCCCGAAGAAGAATGAGGCAGCAAGGCCTAATGTCCCACCGAAGCCAAAAGCCAGAGCTTTCCCAGATGACACTCGAAGCCGCAAAGGAAGCAGCGGACGTCGCTTCAGGTACCTTTCTTGTAAATGGATTGCCTGCTAATATATTGTTTGATTCTGGAGAAAATTACTCTTTTATATCACATAAATTTGGTGGAAGACTTGCATTGCCTATAGAAAAAGTTGATGATGCTCTAGTTGTAGAAGTTGCCAGTGGCAAATTCATACTTGTTAGCAATTGCATTAGGAATATCGTCATCGACTTGAACGGAAACGAATTCCACGAGGAGCTGTTACCTATTGAGCTGAACAGTTTCGATATCGTACTGGCGTTTGAACGTAAAAATACAGGCGTTTGTTCTCTTATTATTCAAATTTTCATATTTGTAAGAAGTATTCAAGCTTCTCTCCACTCCTTCATCTTTTATCTTGGTCTCTACTTCATTCACTTCTCTAATTTTAATTTTCTTTCTTTTTCCAACTTCCGGGAACGAGGGTTTGGAACGATGGTATTATATTAATCAATATTTGTGTTCTTGAGTTATGTCATCATCGCGTTGTGGTCCTGATTGGTTCTCCTTCATTGTATATGGTTATCCATCCTATTTAATTTTTGTTTTTGAATAGCTTGAAGAAAAGGGCGATTTTCGTGTTCCTCAATCATCACAGGTTGAAATCCTTTTACCCTTTGCAGGTTTAGTCGCAATCCATCCTCTCCCTTTTTGATTTATATGTTCTTCTTTTTTTATCTAATCTAATTGAATCGAAAGTCATCTCAACATAAATATATGTAATCGACGGTCCCATCTCCTCTACTATCAATCTCTCTATTTAAACTCTCTCTCTGAAAATCCCTAAACCCACCAGTTTACCCTTTCATTTTTATTAACAGTTCAAGATAATTTCGATTAGCTAATTTGTTAATTCTTTAGCTCATTTAATTTTCAGGGGTGTCGTTTTTGTTGTTGTCTAAGCCGACCTTCTCCTCCCTGGTAGAAAGGCTTTCCAAGGTAAAAAAAATATCCATCTCTTTCTTTTTGTTTAACCACCACCATTGCCACTTTGGTTCTTTCTTTATATATGTGTGTATGCTATATATTTATGTGTATATTTTTTCACCATTTATGTTTGTTTTCAAAGATCGTTTCATACATTTTTTTAATTGATTAAGATGATATGGAAACTACAAAGATTTTTTATTGGTGAGAAAAGTTTGAATTTGTTTAACAACACTAGAAAGTGATCAACTAACAATACAAGTTTGGTGAAGATGATCCTTATCCACACATACATAATGTAATATCCCACTTCTCTATGTACAATTATCCAGGGAGCAAAACAACATATTGGGTGACAAAATGGTTTAGGATCTATGTTTCCTTTAATAATGTTACTATTCAAGTTATCCAGGATAAATAAGAGTTGCAAACATGTTGATTGGAAAGCTCATCAAAAGACTCATGGAACTCAGGATTATAAGGATTATAAGTGTGTTTGTGGTACCATCTTCTCACGGTTCGATTTCCAAACTATTTATGGTACCAATTGGTTATGAGATCAAAGCTTATAAAATCATGTAATTATTATGGTGTGTGGTCTTACTTTATAGATGATACCAGGTGCAACTATAGATGTTCCATCTTCTTTAAGGCTTGACATCTTAGTGTCTATAATAAGAAAAAAGTGTATATATATCTCCTTGAATCTGTATGCATATGAGCTGATATATTTCCTAAATGATTGTTTGTATTTGGATTTCTTTTTTCTCAGCTGCCATTAATTTATGTACAGTGAAAATCAATAGGGAACCAGGTCAAAATTATGATGGATAATGTGAAGTATCTATGTGTAAATAAAATGTTATTATGTTTTTAAGTATTTTGTTTTTTGGATTTTCTGCACATCACTAAAAAATGGCAATGTACTTTTGTTGCATTTACTATTCCTATTATAACATTCTACTTTGTAAAACTTTACCTATTACACATTCAATATTGCAGTTGATTGAACACCACTCGGCTATGCTCCACTTGTAGATGTTAAGCTCCATCAATATATTATACAAAGCTATAACCATGTTTCACTTTCACAGTTTGAGGTTACAAAAATGTGTGGAAATGGGGGGAAAGAGTATATTACTAGGTGACTCAATTTCAGACCATTCCGAGGTATTCTAATTATTTTTTAAAAAAAGTCTTCTAAATAACTAACTACATTGTTCAAATTTAGATTACAAACAACAATGGAAAACGGATCTACATTATAAATTTAGGTTACGAAATCATACGTGAAATGGATCTGGCAAGTCAAAATGTTTATAGTATGTGCAGCTTAGTATTTTAGTTATATCTATTTTCTCATTTTTTGGTTGTTTGTATGCAAACTAACTAGATGAAACTTACATCTCAAAATCTCAATTAGTCATATTAGTTAGTAAATCTGATTTGATTCCACTACAGTTGGAAATTGATAGCATCTTCTCTGTTGCTTATTGATTGTTGAATTTTAGCTAATTATGCGTGCATGCGTGGGAGTATGACAATTTTAATGCTCAAATATGTCAAACCAGGAAGTTTTATCAAAGAGAGAAGGATATGGCATTCAAAAGTCAATAAAGATGCAATTAGAAGGCATAAGTTTTTAACAACATGTGCATTCACATGGCAGATAAGTTTAATTAATAATAACTGGACATTTTTCAATAAGATGTAAGATTTTACTTTTTTTGACATACAGTGGGCAATAACCAATAACATATAATATACATGATAACCGATATTATGTCTTATACTGCTTTTTATTTTTTACATGTCACTAATTAAGCACTACATCATGATTTTATAGGCTAGTAATAGAAAGTTTATATTCAGGGGAGCAGGAGAAAGAGAGGGACAACAACTGCAAAAAAAATCCAGCAAAGAAGGTTAACAGGAAACCTCACCTAAATATTTGGATTTAAAACATTTTGTTTTTCTTCTGATCTAAGAATGGTTGTTTTTTAATGTCACAACGGAGTTTCATATTCAATTGCAGTGAAAACAGTTGTAGATAAATATTCGAAAGTGGGGAAGAGGAAGAAAAAACATGTAGTTTCTTATGACCTAATGAGTTATGGTGATGAGATTCATTTGCTTTCAAAGCATTCCAAGATGTTTTGTGGTTTTCATGGCGAGCAACAGAGTTGAGTTTATGCCACCAAAGTGTATGTAAAGAAAGAGGTAGTTTTATGGTAATTGGTGTACACTGTTGCATGTTTTATTAAAAAAACACTATTAATTATTTTTATATAAAATTACACTTGATTATCTATTACTTTATCAGAGTTATCCGAATTTAGGATGTTATAACTTCACCTGTTGGCAATGAAGTTTGTGTTGATTATAATGATTGTCTGATCATATCCTGTTGAAAGTCATTAGAATGTTGTGTCATCCTGAATATGTATTTTGGAGGACATAAAGATAAGGAGAATTTAACCCCCCTTACTCCAACCAACCAGATAATAATAATAAATGAAAGAAACCATAAAAATAAAATATATGGTGGATTTTGTTTGTCAACAAGCAGTTGCACTCACTTTTGATTCTCAATTTACTATAAACTGTTTTATTGCTATAATAAATTATAAAATTGTAAAATCTAAAAAACTCAATTTACAAAATGGGATTTGGCCCTGTCAAGGCATTTTTTTTCCTGAATATGAAGTCGTAATTTATATGATCTTTATAAAACTGCAATTTAATCAATATATTAAAACCAAACAAAAACATTAAAAAATAATTAATTTAAATGAAATAAGAATTAGTTTCATCAATCGGTTTATTAAAAATAGACATCCAAAATAAAATAACCGATTAATAACATGTGATTGCAATCCAATCAGTTATTACATGTACTCATCCAAATATAAGTTTAAGCAATTTGTCACTCATTAAGTCTTTATTTTGATTTTTTATTGAACATCGAGCAAGTAACATTAACAAAACAAAACCAAAGTGTGGAGCTCAGGCAATTACAATAAAGTGTTCACAAGTAACATTAACAAAACAAAACCAAAGTGTGGAGTTCATGCAATTACAATAAAGTGTTCACAATCTGAGACATACACCAATCGGACCAAATAATTTTGCTAAGGTTCAATCTACTATTAATCCAATTAAAAGTTAAAACACAAATATCTTCCGCCATAAACATGATAGCCCGCCGTTCACTTTTGAAGACAATGTCATTTCTCGACTTCCAAATGACCCATAAGATTGTTTACACCAGATTTTGATATGTTACAGACTATAACGAATATGCTATGCTATTTGTTTGGTGAGACCAATTCACTAATTAGGTCTTCATTGTAATTTAATTAGTTTTTTTTATTTAAATTTTAATTAACTAAAGAAAATTTAAAATTTAAAATTATTATTAATAAAATTTATTCACATATCTTTTATTTCTAAATTCAAAACAACATATTTTCATTTCTAAACAAAAATAAATAAAATATTTATTTGTAAATGTGTTGCATAATTCCGAATGACTGTATTTTTTTTTTCTAAATTTATATCAACTAGTGAAGGTTCCCCCGCTTTGCGGGGGTTGGAAGCTTTTTTTGTTGATTCCAAACAAATGACATTCCTTAATTTACACAAAGGGCACAATCGTCATTTTACATTTCTCATTTCATTTCCCCTAACAGTTTGTAAGGAAAAAATACTGAAAGAGTTAAAAACCTCAGAAATGAATAACTGAAAACATTAGCCGATGCAATTTCCACCTCAATCCTAGCAGCTTCTTCAGTCTCCTTTGATAACAGGAAGTCTCATCCTAACCGGTTAACAACAGTAAATTAATTAGACATCATAACCATCTCTTAATTGCACAATTCCAGAAATGGCCCTATGACTTGAATCAATGATCACTAACCTGGAAGCCTTTCAATTATATACAACCTTGTACATGAGTTCCAAGAAACATCTTCTCTCCTCTCCCCCCAAACCCCCATCTTCATGATCAAACTTGTTGGAGAAAGTGCTACCACTGGAAACACTTGTAAATTTGGAACAAACTTCCGACCACTATATAATCAAAGAATCAAACAGAATAACAGTGATTGAATTTAATACCTTTTGTTCAATGATGGTGTTCTTGTTCTTGATGTAGATGCTTCTTTTTTTTCTGTGTAAAAAAAATAAAATAAATAAGAATAATCTCATTCAGGAAAATACTGAAAATCCCTTGCTCCGCGAGGGACGGAAATTGCTTTTCTTTTGTCAAGTATATATATATATATATATATATATAT